AGACATGAGAAAATATTCTTAGAAATTATGAAAAGAATGGTGTATAGCTATGTAATATCCAATCTCCTATATTGCGATGAATACTTGACAATCTCCTCGCAGATAGAGTCTTGAAGCGAAAAAGGCCTGATTCTACCGATGAATACTGGGACCTCATTGGATTAAACGTGGGAGCAACAGGGAAGTCTTGATGAAAACAGAAATAAGAAGGAAAGTTTTATATACGCCTAGCATCTCGACCTCACACACACACACACACACACACACACACACACACACACATATATATATATATATATATATATATATATATATATATATATATATCGCTCTCCCTACACTAGAAATACTGGGCGACTTCTTGCCTCGTTCTCTTTTCTACTTTGCATTTCAGCGAAGAACACATTTAAAAATGTAATTTCTCACGTTTTCGACCACTTATGGAAAAACGCCATGAAATATATATACGGTGTTCCAATAACTTCGACCGATTTTAAACTTAATTCCCATGTAAAATACTTAGTTTAAAATATTGTTTTTTTTCAATAGTATGTTTCATTATTTGCGTTGAATATAGTTTTCTTGGTGATGATTTACAAGGTATGTGCTTTTAGTTTTCCATTTTAAGAGACGCAGCAAACATTTGGTTTTGTGTCCGCAATTTGAGGTAAGCGCTAGTCGTTTTAGTAATTTGCCTGGGAAAATGATTATAACTAATTTATCCTCCAGACAACGTTTACAGTTTATATATATATATATATATATATATATATATATATATATATATGGATATGAATTGGAACGATTATATCGAGCCGATTAGCAAGTCTGCTGTCTTGAAAATTGGTTCATTATGTCGTGCTAGAATTTTTCTCAGCCGAATCTGTCTTGCACCTTTATATGTCTACCTGTCAACTCTGCTTTGAAAATTGCTGCCACATCTAATTTGGTGCTTCTACTATGTCTCTAAAGATTCTTGACAAAATCCGAAGGACAATCCGCAATGCTATCCATCCTGATGTGGCATCTCGGCTTCAAACATTTTACAACCAGCGTAAGATAGCTTCTCTGTGCGTATTCTATGAATATTTTCATGGTAATGGTTTATTGAGATTGGTGCCTCGACTGAATTTGCGCGCAGAACTCGATTGGCAGATAGGTCTGATTAATTTACTGTTTGCCAGATATAACCCTAAGTTCGATTCTAATAGTTTCCTCTCTCGCACATCTCACCTGTGGAACACTTTTCCAGTTTCTTGCTTTTCTGTCAACTACAATCTTGAAAAATTTAAATGCAACGTCTTCTTTCCTCCTGACTTGTCTTGTCTCTTCAACGTTTTCTTAGTTTCTTTCACATTCAGTAATCTCCTTGCATCTTAGTGGCTTTATTGCCACTAAGACGCAAGGAGATTTTTATCCTTATTGAAGGATAAGAAGATTATGAGGATGAGGAGGATAGATAGGAATTGACCCTCGACTTGCGATTAAGAGTGTAGTGTTTAAGGTAGTCTACGCGGTGGTTGTTCCACAAAGCTGTCTGAGTGACCCTTCCTCCTTACAAATGGAATACCGGGACAATATGTGTAATTCAAGACTGTAAACGCAGTATAGCGAGTCCTAGCTGTAAAGGCATGAACTGGTGGAACTAAATGGAGATGTAAATAGTCACAGACGAGCAACAGATCTGTGTTTGTGGAAATAGGTTATAGGGTAAGAAATATTTGATAGATTGAACAGCTCTAGTCCAGATATTAACCTCAGTATTCCGTTTTTGGGGTCTAATCAGACTGTTGTAGAGATAAGGCATGGCAGGTGTCTGGTACTTCCTGGAGCCGATCATTTTCCCACTATTTTTAGCAATGTATCGTGTGTATGAGCAGGGCGGCTGCAAGTGTCTCATGCGTCCAACACCGAATCCATGATACGGGGCACCAGAATTTATGGCATTTTAATTTTTACAATGTAGTATTCATATAAAATACAAATATTATTGTAACTTAATGATGTACAATAATGGATCATATTCAATATAGGTGAACAATTCAACTAGAAAAATCGAAAATAAATACAAATGTATCTAAATACAAATTAGAGACATGTCATAATAGATCATCTTAAATAAATCAACAATGCTTTGCCGGAATTTTTAGCATCAACTTGAGATTTTTCTTGCTTAAGAATTCTGACACATTCAACATTATGAATAAAAAATAATGAATTTTATATGGCGTTATTTTTATTTTATTTTTTTTTTTGAGCTTCAGCATAGGTAAAACAAATTTATCGATTTGGACGAAAAAAAAGGGGCCCAGAATGACATCAAAATCCGCTAAAATTGTTCATCCTTTAATATGTCGAATATGTTGAATTCGGCTGAAAAGACCTGCGTTGAGATAGTTGATGAATGACCGGGTTGCAAAAGAAAACGTTTTTCTTTTGTTATTACTATGGTTACCTGGCCCTCTCCGTTAGGGTCAGGTAACCATAGTAATAACAGACAGAATCAATAATAACAACTTGTTTCGCTGTCGGCCAAAAAAGTGGAAGGATTTTTATAGCATACCTCTGCTCTCACCTCATCCGCCAACCCAAATGGAAGGCTACTAAAGCGGAAGAGTGTAAGGCGTTCGCGCCTTAGGACACCCCGGTCCACATCGCCTCTCCACTCACCTAAGTCTATTCTCCATTATTTCCAATAAATAGTCAGTTGGCTTTATTTTAATTTGTAACGTATATAAATGTAGGTAGAAAAAAGCAAATGTTGTTAAGATAGCTAGAGTCACAAAGCACTGTCTGGTTCCTCCACTGAGGCTTGGGGTCGCTCAGTCGGGTGTTTCGAGGGTAGTACGCACCGGCCATGTGTATGAGTTCCACTTGAAATGCGAACTTAAATATACGTTCAAAACATTGTGAACAAAAAATTCTACCACAAGGAAAGTTGGTTCTCTTTCCTTCAAATCTACAAATCAACTATTCGACCGTGATTGGAATACTGCTGCCATATATGGTCTGGTGCCCTCGCTGTTCGTCTTGAGGCCCTCGACAAAATCCAGAGACGGATATGCAATGTGATGCCATAGAATGCTGGACAATCTCCTCTCAAATGAAGAAGAGACTTGAGACAATTATCATATTATTCAACATAAGGATACTGATAATATCATGAATACCTGAATATGGGAGGAATATTTAAAAAAAATGAAACAAAAATCAGAAAGACAGTTGAAATACAGAGGATACATAGGATATAGGAAAGAAGGCTAGGAGAATTTGATACTCACAGGACATTTTGAAGGCAAGAGGAGAAGGAAAGCAGTGAGTAACCTACATAACGAGCTTATGTAAATGCATGGCAGGGTTTGGGTAGGATATCAAAAACACAAAACGAAGAGCTGCAATGGATAGGAAGTTGCGAAGAGCCATGATCGTCCTGAAAGGCCACGGCACATAGAAGAAGAACCTAATGGTATATAAAAATGTTAAAGTTTTCTTCAAAAATATTATGAGCCACAAAATATGTCGCATTTACCCAGAATTCTTAGGCTGATTAATTTGAAAAATAAAACAAAAAAACAACTGATTTCAAGGTATATTTGGGGAACTTTATAATACAATTTCTTGGATGAAAAAAAAACAAAAAAAAAACGGTGTGCGGGTGGTGTGCTACATAGCGACTCGATATGAAAAACTGGGTTAAATATAGATCGAAATTATATCTGGAAAAATCACTGTCATCTTCAAAAATAAATTTTAAATGCAATATTCACGTAGAAAAAATTATTTTTACAATTCAAGAAATGTTTTGGCTTTAAATAACCCGCAAAGGGTTGATAAGCCATAAAAATGAACATTAAACACTTGGCCAAAAATGAAGAAGCGACCTGTTCAACTTATATACGAGTATATATGACAGGCGTACAATTAATTTTTTTATTTCCTCGACTTGAATCAACATAAATTTTGATCTACAGAAGGATGCCGAGGATACCATGTGCCGAACATGTGAGTAACAACGAGGTTTTGGAGAGAATGGAAACAAAAAGGAACATACTTAACATCAGGAAGACACATTAATGAGGGAGGAGAGCTCGGAAAATCTGATACTCACAGGGCAGAGAAAGGGAAAGTGGGACAAAGGAAATCAGCACATAACATACTTAGTGAGCTTAAATAGATGGATTTCAGAATAAGATTTAGGAGAAATAACAAAAAGAAAAACTTATTAAGAATTACAAAGGACAGGAAGATGTGGAGAGCCATGTTCGCATATGTTCTGAAGGGACACGGCACATAAAGGAAGAAGAAATGTCATTCTGCCTGCTTCGTATGAAAGGCGGGGAATTGCGAGCTAGCTTTATCACTGGATATACGACGACAGTTTGCACTTGAATCCGCGAAAAAAGGATGTCAGTGTACTGTAGTCTGCTTAGGTCGAGGCGGACACACAGACACATATACAAATCGGTTTCTTAGACCTTAACACAGTAAATAAAAACTCGTATGCAAAGTAACAGTAAATTATCTTTATCAACGAAGATGGGGGGAGTACCTAAATAATAAAAAAATAAAGTGCAACTGATCGGCAATTATGAATTTCGGTCAGGTAAGGAACGCGGAGAAAAATGTGTTCATTGGTGCACACGAAATGACAAGTAATAACTAACACTTAGTTATTAACAGCCAAAGACGCTGGCGGACATAAAGAAACCCACAAGGAGAAATAAAGAAACTGATAGACTACCGGTCGACAAAGGAATGAGTAAGGCAGTTTTGTGCAATGAACACAGAAATGCCGGCTGTTAGAGTAATCACCTCCCGGTCATATGCAAAGGGTAACGTTGCAAAAGTTACAAAAGACGAAAACATAAACAGCAATAAGGCAAACTCCAGAATTAAGAAAATAAATAAACAGGTTTAGTCGCAATTAAACATAGATTGTTATATTCTTTACAGTTGGAAATATGTCTTCATCTTTGTTGTTGCTATGACAACATTTCAACTGCTCTGCTCTCATAGATAGATAGATAGATAGATACATACATACATACATATATAATTAACAGACATAGATAATGAACAGATTGGCGCAGATAGATAGATAGATACATACATACATACATAATTAACAGACATAGATAGATAGATAGATAGATAGATAGATACATACATACATACATACATACATAATTAATAGCCATAGATAGATAAGATAGATAGATAGATAGAGATAGATAGATAATGAACTGATTGACACAGAGACAGACAGATATATATATATATATATATATATATATATATATATATATATATATATATATATATATATATATGCATAAATGCATACATACATAAATACATATTTTAAAAAACATAGACAGATAGATCTACATATCTACCTATATCAATATCTAGTCACAGGTGACAGACTGTTTCATGCTAAACGCAATCATCAGGCCATATGTGCTGAGTTTTTCTCGACTATTTATATATACAGGTCAGTGGTGCATTATGTGTAGTCTATTCTAACAGTTATTTTGGAGAGAGTGGTTTGTTAATTTTTTTTATTGTTTATTTATTTATTGGGATTAATTTATTTTACTGTTTTTCTTATTTATTTTTATTTTATATATTTTTAATTATTCTTTACAGTTTTCGATTTTTAAATAACGTAATAATTTTTTAAGTAACTAATATTTTTAAATCAGTTTTGGTCGATATTTAGTAGTTTGTTTTGGTCTGGGGAAGTAATTATAGCTATTTTTCGCCCAATCAGAGTTTGCAGTTTTTGGATTGATTGTTGTAGTCTACTCTACCGGATATTTTGGCGGGAGTATCCTGTTAATTGTTTAGTATTTACTTGGATTAATTTAACTTGTTTTTTTTTTTTTTCCTATTCATTTTTACTTATTCTTTACAGTTTTCGAATTTTAAGTTACGTAGTAAAAATTTGTTTTCGTGTCTGAATTTTGAGATGAGTTCTGATCGTTTATTTAGTGGATTTTGGTCTGGGAAAGTAAGTATAGCTATTTTACCACCAAGCACATTTTACAGATTTTGGATTGATTGTTGTAGGCTGATGTTCTTTTCCTTATTTTCCATGATATTTTTGGTGTGATTTGCGTTTTGTTTTTAATTTTCCATATATACTTGAAAAGCATTGTGCTTTTAGAGTATTTTCTATTTGTGACAGATGTTTTGCGTGCATAGTTTCTTTATTTCCAGGGTCCTTCAGTTACTCCTATGTATATTTTTCTTCATTATCTGTTGATTTTACCGTTGTTTGGTATATTACATTGTTTTGTAAGCAATTAGGAGACATTCATTCTTTTTTCTGAAGTTACACTTGAGTTTAATTTGTTCGGGTGGTTTGTTGATAATTTTCCTGTTGTGCTTTTTTTATTATTTGTGCCATATTCTCGGTGCAACTGTATCTGACTTTTACTGTATTTTTGTTGAATATTTTGTGAATAGTGTTTGATTCAGGGAAGTGTTTGTGTAAGAGATTGATGAATATTTTTCCTACATTTGTTTTTAAATAAAAAAAGTCACCCATGAAGTAAAACTAATTGTTTGTACGGAAAGCTAGGACCTACGTACATCAAACTGTTTTTAAATTAAGCAGCGGCTGAAGAATTATTATAAATATTAATACAATAGTTAAATGTAGTGATCAATTTTTAGTTCTTCTGTAGTTTATTATTGCCTATCATATTTTCTCATCCCTAGTTATTGTGATGAATGCCTAATCAAGAACTTTCTACAACTCGTAAATTTAAGCTAGTAAATATATAAATATATATATATATATATATATATATATATATATATATATATATATATTGAACATTTTATCAAAATTTATTGGGTAATACTAATTTTATTAGTGAAATTTTCATTTGCACAATAAAATATGACATGAGACATCGGAATCGAATATTCGACACGTCTTTTATAATCTTGTTAATGCCATGAATTTACTTAACAGAAGTCTACGACTCACGTGACTACTATTTCCGGTTAAACTATTGATAAAATGTGGTTTATTTTCCTTTAATTTCTGTTTCCTTTGATTATTTTTTTTCTGTTCCTTTCCGTTACTGGACATATCTGTAATTTGCAAATGTAAATTTGTAAATAAATCGCAAACGGGCGGCAAGGTCTACCCACTTTTACAGTTGGAATGGCTGGATGTAACCGTAAGTTCTATGTTAACATTTTCTTCTATCGTATTCCAGACATGAACGTCAAAAGAACTCGTGACAATTCACAATGCAGTTTTCTTTCTTATACAATTAAGCCATTGTTACGAATAGCCATGAATTGTTGTATTTGCATGACAATGACCAACACTTCAGTCATAGTTCAAAGCAGATTGTGCGAATCAGCTATTACGCCTATATAACCGCCATAACGTAGCTCAACTGGACCTATTCTACAAACAGTTTCATCGTAATTGCTCTGATAAACTTTCCTTTCATTCGGCAGTCATTTTTAAATATTGCTTTTTATCGCATTTCTTGCTTGTAGAACTCTCTTCCGGATTCTTGCTTTTCCAGCCAGTTTTGATCTTCAAAAATTTAAATGAAACGTCAATCGTTATCTTATGTTTTCTTAACTATTTTTCTTTTACTGTTCTTTCTATTTAATTTGTTTAATAGTGTTGCTATAATGTATTAGGAATATTTATTATTTTTCACACATAGAATAGATGAACTGGCGTCTTGGCATCGATTACTTTTCCACCGCCGTAACGTGGCTACCATATGCCTTTTTTTTGTTACGAATACCCATAAATTGTTGTATTCGGATGAAAATGACCAGCACTTAAAATACAGTTCAAGTTAGACTGTGTGAATCAACCGTTACACCGCCGTAATATAGCTTACCTTTTCTATAAATACTTTCATCGTAATTGTTCTGATGAGCCTACCTCTAGAGTACGTAGACTTTATGAAGTTAACCTCACTACTATATTGGTGGCAAAGGTCTCATCATTTTACAGTGGTATTGGCTAGGTGTAACTGTAAGTTCTATGCTAACAGTTTCTTCTGTCGCACCTTTTGCTTGTGTAACTCTCTTCTTTCTTGTTTCCCAGTCAGTTTCGAACTTCAAAAATTTAAATGCAATGTCAAACGTTATCTTCTGTCTTCTTCATTCTTGTTCTTTTATTGTACTCTCTCGTTAATAGTCGTTTTTCTCGTATTCTCACACTCACTAATGTCTTTGCGTCCTAGTGAATTTATAACCTTGCTTGGGGTGAAATGATAATATATATATATATATATATATATATATATATATATATATATATATATATATATATATATATATATATAAAGGTAACAAATCTGTTGGTATATAATCTAAGTGGATTAGTAATATAAAATATTAAAACTGATCCACAAAAAGAGCTCAATATATTTATTATTACAGCAAATAATTAATAAACCATAAAATCCAAAATCAACTCAATAGGGAAATAGACTATTTCGGCAGACGAACATATCGGACGTTTGTCTTATCAATATCTATATATTATATATATATATATATCTTGAAAAAAATGATTGTATAAATACAACAAAAATTACAACAGAGGAATTTCGGACTCGTAGTGGGTGGGGAGCTTGTAAAATGTCTACCCATGTTGATACGGCACGTAAGCTTACTTTTGAAAGTTCCAAATTCAAAGCAACACGACCATGTTTCATGATGCGTCGTGCCTAAGCACAATGTATCAGGAAGCCACGACCAGGTTACACCCAGTGAGGATCAAATTCATTAAATAGCATAATTGTTCAGGTAGACACATGGCTAAGTCCGTCTATTGATGATTAAAAACTTTAATTTATTACGCGCAACATATAATCTACATCTTAATTCGTGAATTCCGGTCGAATATTATACAGAAAAATTTTAAATCAAAATTATTTTAATGTCTCCTTCTGAGTACCCACATGTGCACATATATATATATATATATATATATATATATCCACAGACAGACTGAATCGCTGTGTCACAGCTCATCAGCATTAGACAGCCGATGGCTGCAAGCCGGGATCGAAACATCACTGATTTGGCAACAGTTATAGATTTTGTTCCCAAAGCCTTCGTCGCACGGATGAAAGAAAGGCGAATTTTTACTCTTGAGTTAAATAAGGCTAAGGCATTGACATTAGTCGAAATAGTCTATACTCATGAGGTAATTTTGGATGTAATTTATACGCTCTGTTATAATAAATACACTGAGCTCTTTTTGTGGATCAGTCTTAATATTTTATATACAAGGATCCACTTGGATTAATTACCAATGCACTTATTACCTGTACTATATATATATATATATATATATATATATATATATATATATGTGTGTGTGTGTGTGTGTGTGTGTGTGTGTGTGTGCATGCCTAACGACTTTCATGTACATGAAACTCAAAATTGTACCAAACGGTGAGGAACAACTGTATATTTATTATTAGTATACACACACACACACACACAAACATATATATATATATATATATATATATATATATATATATATATATATATATATATACAGAGTGAGAAAGAGAGAGAGTGTGTGAGATTGAGAGAGAGAATGATACAGATATAGATAGAAAGGGAGACACAAAGAGAGTGAAAGAGAGATGGAGAGTTAGAGAGTGAGACAGAGAGAAAGGGAGAGACAGAACAAGGGAGGAAAGATGAACGCTGTTGACATAGATATTAACACTGCATGCGTATACCAGAATTTAAACAAATTTGTCCTCTCTCTCTCTCTCTCTCTCTCTCTCTCTCTCTCTATATATATATATATATATATATATATATATATATATATATATATATATATATATATATATATATATATATATATATAGTAATGTAATGTTGGGTTTGGTAATCCGTGTGGATAATTCCAAAGAAGATGTAATCCAGAAAGCTCAATGTAACAACAGAGTAAATAGAGAGAGAGAGAGAGAGAGAGAGA